CTGTTCCTGTTGCACAGAAAAAAACTTGCTCGAAGCGCCCCAAATGTTGCGATCCAGGTTCCAACGCCAGCAGCACATATTTCGATAGCGTTTTGCGAGGGACACCGTGTTCCACTACTGCTCTTCGCACAGAAATCCCATATTTAGTCACGGATCGTATGGCCGCAACCATATTCTGTTCCGACCACGATTTACGCAACGATTTTCGCTTGTAGACACGCACCATCACTTCGAAACTTCACTCTGAGGCGACAACTTTTTGAGGTTATAATATGTCTTGTTTACTATGGCTCTTTTGCCCCAGGCAAGTATGGCGCTCTTGCCCCCGTGGAGAAGACGAATTTCAAATACGTTTTTTGAGGATCTACATGCAACAATAAGTATTTATATATTGAGGGTCGCAAAATGTATTACCGTACAATAAAATCTACATCGTATTATTAAATTTTCTTAGAAAAATGATGAGAAAAAGCTTATTTTATGTCATCGATTTCTTATAACATTTTGAAGTTTTCGACAAAGTGTAAGTTTTTTAGATTTCTTGATAATATTTACATCATAATGTATAACCAAATTTGATGCAGTATATCTGAAGGGCTTTTTATAGCATCCCATTAATAAGAAATATCAAAAATGTATTTCAGGCTTCGATACAAGCAGGTTTTTGCCCCACCTGACCCTACACAGTTGTACACACCAACTGCTCATTTGTTAATAACTTTTCACTCAGTTGTTGAAATTTGTTTTTCTTTAAAGTAATTGATAGATTAGGATCATAGTTTACTATAGATATGCAAAAAGTATGTAAATCTTAACATTTGAATCAATGTCAATGATTTTTTACACTTAAAATCCGAGATGTGCCGCGAGCATTTCTCACTTTATTTTTACAACGCAAAAACAAATACAGTTTATTTCTAGAATTAAAATCTACTTGTTTTTACGTTCTACACACTTAGAAATTATCTCCGACTTCGGTTATTTTTACCAAAATGTGAACAGCTGAACTTTTCGGTAAAAATTTAGCAATTCAATTAAATCGCTTTTCAGCTACTTTGAAACTAAATCTCCAATAAAATGACAAGATTTGATCATTTAAACAAGGTTAAACATGTTTTGATATTATTTTCAAATTCAATAGCCTTTAAAATGAAGGTCAAACTTTTATCGAACGTTCAGCTGTTCTGATTTCGGTAAAAATTACCCAACACGGAAACAAAATCTTAGTGTGTATAACAAGCTTAAACTCTATTATTTTTATTGCTTCAAAAAGAACTATGTTACGACAACTGTGTGCGAAGTTATTAGCAAATGAGCAGTTCGTGACCAAAACTGTGTATGCCAAGCATGGTGCCCTGTACTATCCATAATCGCATATCAGTCCCATCTTTGCTTGATTTCTTATCCATATGGGACTGATATGCGATTATGGGCAGTGTACAGCAAAACGAGCTAAAGGACGGTAACAAAGGTGAGAAGCTGTGCTACAACTGTGAGAAACCGGGGCACTTTGCAGCCAAATGTCCCAATGCCAAAAAGTCGTGTTTGAAACCAAGCAAGTCAAAAGGGCTGTGCTGTATTTTCGCTATTGGAGATGCAAGGACCGATGAGTGGTATCTGGATTTAGGTGCCACCAGCAACATGGCACGTTCGGATCAACTTTTCGTCAACGCGGTTGCCATGGACCACGACGTTGGAACGGCAAACAACAGCAACATGAAGGCCGCTGCAAAGGGAACGGTTTCCGTGGAAATTCCAGAAGGAGGCATGGAAGTTGCTAATGTGTTGAAAATTCCGGACTTAGCAATCAATCTGTTATCGGTCAGCACCATCTGTAAGCGAGGAAACAAGGTAGTATTCACGGCGAACAAGTGCGAAGTCTGGGATGAAAGCGGCGAGCTTGTCATTACCAGAGTTGAAGAAGGCGGTCTCTATCGTGTCAGTCGGCCGGAAGAATCGTTTCTGGTTAACAGCATCGAGTTGTTGCATAGACGTCTTGGCCATTTGAATGAAGGAAGCTTGAAGAAACTCAAGGAAGTGGCTAGCGGAATCGACTTCAAGAATGAAGCACTTACCAATTGTGTATCGTGTCTCACGGGAAACCAGGCACGATTTTCGTTTCCCAGCAGTGGTTCAAGAGCGAAGGAATTGGGTTCTTTAATGGTATTGAGGTAAATGCATATTCGTAATCTGCATTAAAAATAGAACCCAAATCCTAAATTTCATCAATTTTGGTACACTGGAACTATTTTAAATAAGTACGATTACATTTGCAAACATTACCACCTTAGGGCCCCGCGGTGGCACTTTGCATGGGAACGAGCTGTCAGTCTGTTAGTTTAGTGTCAAACAGTGACGTTATTATTTTGCTTAAATATTGATTTAAAAATCGAGATGAAAGTGTATGTTTTCGAAAAAAAATATCGCTGTACTCAGAAAACAAAGCTCTTTCAGATGATGATGAAAAACCGATCCATTTTTTAAAATTGAAGAACCCAATTGCTAGAGCTGATGCACTCCGACCTGTGCGGTCCCGTGGAGGTGCCATCGTTTGGAGGAAGTCGCCACTTTATTACCTTCGTGGACGATGCCAGTCAGAAGGTAGTAGTGTTCATTCTTGAAAGGAAGAATCAGGCGCTTGAAGCATTCAAGAAATTCAAAGCTAGAGCCGAGAGACAAAGCGGGAAGGAGCTGAAGATTTTGCGTACAGACAATGGAACGGAGTACGTCAACGAAAGTTTCCGTGAAGTTCTGGAACGTGAAGGTATTCGGCATCAAACCACGTGTCAGTATACGCCTGAACAGAATGGTGTAGGAGAACGCATGAACCGCACGTTGGTGGAGAAAGCACGGTGCATGCTCAACGATGCAAAGCTTGGTAAGCAATTTTGGGCGGAAGCAGTTTCGACAGCTGCTTATCTGGCCAATCGATGTCCAACGCGGTCATTGGAGATCATAACGCCAGAAGAGGCGTGGTCTGGAAAGAAGCCGCACCTCAAGTATCTCAAGATTTTTGGATCTCAACACACATTCCGAAAGTGAAGGGGAAGAAGCGATCTTCGTCGGCTATTGTGAGGACACCAAAGGCTACCGTTTGTACGATCCTGACAGCGGTGAGTTTCAAATCAGTCTAGATATTGTAGTCCTAGCAGAAGGTAAATCAAGTCAAAGCCTAACGAGTGATCAAAATGCACAGCCAGTGGAGTTCATGGAGCTGAATTTCCAAGAGCTGTTGGCAGGCATGGAAAATCATTTGCATTCATTTCGTACATTCATTTACATTCATTTGCCTCTAACTCTTGTCATCAACAGTATTCCACAAAATGATACATATAGCTTTTGTAGGTACTGTTATTAGCTACAACTTTTGCTCATAACTCAAATCTGTATCTCTTATGCATCACGAACTAGAGCGGGGGCAAATGAATGTATGAAATGAATGCAAATGATTTTCCATGCCTGGCTGTTGGTACCAATAAGCGCTGCTGATGGAAGCAATGAAGAGCAGCAATACGAAGTCGTTGTAGTTTCTTCTGATGGTGAAGATGAAGACATCGAAGAGGTTGCGGATAAAGCTGCGAACGCGCTCCCATCTCAACTGAATAGACCAGCTGATTCGTAGCAAGGGTTAAGGCCCAGTGATCCAGGAAAGTACAATGATTACATTAGCTTTGGAGCATATTCTGGTGATACCATTTCCCGCCAGTTACCTCCTGATTTAACCAACGGTGAATGTGCGTTGGACGATCCAACGACTTACGATGAAGTTCTGCAACGGCCTGACAGAGATCATTTGGTTCAAGCGATGAACGATGAGCTGAGGTCACTGAGCGAGAACAACACGTGGGTGCTTGCGGATCTGCCTGAGGGGCGGAAAGCGATTCGGAACAAATGGGTGTTCAAAGCGAAGCGCTGATGGAACCATTCAGCGGTACAAACCTCGTCGCGTCGTGAAAGGATGCTCACAGAGGCCAGGACTAGATTACGACGAGGTGTACTCTCCCGTAGTACGGTATGGGACGATTCGTTACCTCATGGCGTTGGCGGTGAAATACGATCAGATGGACGCAGTTACAGCCTTTTTGCAAGGAGAGCTGAACGATGAGGAGATCTACATGCTGCAGCCGCAGGGGATAGACCATCAAAATGGAAAGGTATGCCGCTTGAAGGCAGTAGATTGTTGCCTGTACTTGATGACGAAGACCTATTTAAGCGAACGATTCAAGATGAAGGATCTCGGTGAAGCCAAGTATTGTTGCCCCGGATTACGAGATATCAAGCAGAAGGAAAGCTCTGGCTCGATCAACAGGCGTACATCTAGGAAATCATTCAGCGTTTTGGAATGACCGTATCGTATCCTGTAGCAACGCCAGCTGATCCCAGTTTAAGACTGGACAAATCCATGAGACCGAGAAACCAGAACGAAGTCGAGGAGATGAAGATAGCAGACCTGGTTTTAATCACAGTCGGCGCCGCCGGGATGTTCTGAGGCATAACATCTCTGATCACGCCTTTTTCCGGAAGCGAAATAAAGCCGTTGGTCCGCGGTTCATGCGTTGATGGGTCGATAGGTAGGGTCCAGGTGTGGGAGCCTCCCTGACGTCGGTAGCATTGGTATTCAGCACGGAAAACAAGATCGACGGAAAACAAATCAAGGAAAAAAAAAATGCGTGTAAGTTGTACCCAAGATATGATAAAAAATTACCGAAGTCGGTAATAATTTCTGGAGAATAAATTCTGGTTCTCAAATTGTCTTGAAGGCCATTCGAAAAAAAAACATGCAGAATACAAAAAAAAAACTAGGCAGTAGAGGCTTAAAATTGGGAGCAATAAAAACAAACGTTAACATATTGTATTATAGCTAGTTATAATCTATTTTTTTTTTCGGAACTATGACGAAGATAAACACACGCTCGTTTCTACGTATAAATCTTTATTATACATTGCTATGTTTCAGTTAGCAGCATTCTACTACAGGGTTTTTGATATTTTCTTCTGCGTTTTATTTCCTGCTTGAAGAGAATACAATCAGTAAGATAACTGGCAACATCGACTAAATATGTAATGTACGTATCATATATCGCAACATGTTCTAACACTCATAATTTCTCTAACGCTGGATATAAATTTGCTTAAAATGCAATGGCGTGTCGCCTAAGGACACCAAATAAGTGCGTATAAATTATTCGGTTTCATAAACCGAACCTAGGTGATAAGGAGTAAGATAAGGAAACAGGTTTAACTCAACGGATGAGATAAAGATGACCCCCAAAATGTTTGCTATAAATAACTCAAAAAGTATAATAACACGACTGGAATCTATGTTCATGTAGTTACAGTTCATTGATGTTGTTCCATGGTTGCTGGTGTTACCATCCTGCTGCCCATCCGCTCCGTTGCATCTCGCATCGTTTCATTTGTTCTGGAATTCTACTCCGTAGATTGATGAATATTACTTACCAATTGCGTAGACAGCTCATACGAATAAGATATACTCATTGTTGGTAATTATTTCTATAAACATTTGCGATTGGTTCACATGGTTGGTTGATCCTCTCGAGCTCTTCGTCCACCTTATACCAGTTCGAACTTCCAAACCTTGTTTGGTCCAATTTCGGTGACGTACATCGCGGATCCGTTCGGGCAGAATGCGATCGAGTGAGGGTTTTCAAATTTTCCCCAGTGATCGATGATGGTCTCCGAGCGAGGATCGATGGTGAAGCCTCGAACGGGGATCATATCTGCTGTTGGACCGTTGACGGCATACACCAGGTCTCCGTAGGCAGCCACGTCGTACACATGTCCGAGATCCGGTTCCTGGATGGTTGCAGCCTGAGTTCCTTCCCCGAACGAAGACTTAAGACCGGCCCTAAAATGGATTACATTCCGTTATTATATAGTTACACACCCAATCGCACATGAACATCTACTCACTTCGGACAAACCACTCTCATGTTCTCCCGATCCGCTATGCAGATCAAATCCAAATGCTCCAGGAGTGTCAATCCGTGCGGAACCTGTAGCGACAAGAACTCCGGTGGCTGCGGAATAGTCCGGATCAAACGGCCAGCTGCATTGAACTTCAGAATCCGGCTGTTGCAGTATCCGTCGGCGATGAAGATCTCTCCGGTTGTGGCCACGGCAGTTGCCGTTGGCTTGCACAGGTGATTTCTGGAAGAACCTGGCTCAAAGCGACGCCCTATCGTGATGCTGGGATAATCATGGTTGGGCATAAATTTGAAAGCCTGATGCAGTGCCACGTCCGTTAGCCACATGTTACCATTCCGATCGATCGTCATTCCGTGGGGCATGAAGAAGATCCCACCGCCACTTTCATCGATCACCTCGCCGGTTTTGGCACTCAGCGTTAGGATCGTGCTGTCTTCGATGGGACCGTCCAAGATTTGCTGGAAGTGGTTGGTCTCATTGAAACTTCTGCAAGGGGGCGACGATGAGTGATTGTTGTTAGCAGGAAATTATGAGGATAATTGGAGAGGAGGAAGGGGGACTTACTCAGCACTCCAAACGCGACGGCCACGATGGAAGATGACCGGGTTACCTTCGCGGTTGATCGATACGGCGGTTACCTGGCCGAACTCGTGGCTCACCATGGGCCAGTTCTCGACAACGCGCGGCTTGGGTGGACTGTCCAGGTGGGAGGTGTCGACTGGCTTCACTGGCTGTGACTGCAAGAAATGTATACGTTCAATGAATGAGGGAAATTGTATACCATTCCACAGTGATCCACAATGGGAATATACACGGGAAAAATCCGATCTTCGAAATAAGAAAAATGACTCATGATTTCATGAACACAGCGTATTTTCATGTTATGAAAATACACCATGAATAATATTCATGATATCATGAGCAACTTTTGCGTAACGCAGCAAACATTTCCAAAATCATGAATCATCAGAGTTGAAATCATGAGCTAAATTCATGGGTTTAACTGTTAACCAAAAAATGTAAAATGAATAAAATAAAGCAACAGACTGGATTCGAACCAAGAACCCAACGATCATTAAACCCATATCTTGACCACTAGACTATAAGTACTTGTATAAGATGGAAGGCAAAAGGCGTATAAGAGATACCTATGTAGTGCGGTTTATGAATACGGTTTGCCAAGTACGTGTAACGCTTGTAGCGGTCTTGATTCCTCTGCATTATGGAATCATGAATTTCCATCCCGAAATCATGAATCATTGTTACGACTTCATGGGATGGCAAGTTTTTTCATTTCATGATTTTTTATTCATGAAAATGGAATCGGATTTGTTTCCGTGTAGAAAGACAAAAGTCCTAGTGCTTTTGTCTTAAGTTTTAGATGTTTGGTGTCTTCGGTTAACTTTTTTTTCTTACAAGACTCCTACTTTAGATCCTCAGATTTATTGATATTTTAAAACCAACTTATATATATATATTTTAAATAAAGACACATGATCTTGAGTTGTAGTTGAGCTGATTTCAAAACACTTTGTTGAAGAAACATTTTTTATATCTCTCAACGTTCTCATTTTATATATTTAACACTAAATCTTTGGTCATGTACGGCTCTTTTTGCTTTCTCTCGGCAAGAAAATGTCACCTAATAAAATTGGAACGAATTCAATATCGTTGTCTGCGTATTGCTCTCGGCTGTATGCACTCAATGCATAACATGAGTCTCGAGGTTCTGGCAGGAGTAACACCCCTCTAGAACCGTTTCTGGGAGCTGTCTAATTAAACATTACTTCACATGATAATCAAGTGTATACAGAGCATCACTGTTTTAAGGAAGCAGTGATGTCTAATAAACACTGAATAATCAAAAATGTTATCGTATAAACTCTGTTACAACTCATATAAGTCGAATAAAAGCTTCTCGACATACCTTATACAACACCAGTAGTTCAATGTTGAGGTTGAATAAATTCTCCAGATTTGTGTGAACAAAGCCTGAACAGAAGTTATTATTAAAAATAGTACAAGTACTATTAAGCATGCAGTTGAATAAAATGGCCAAGAAGTCGTTTCTTCAAAAGACGATTGTTTGTTGGGAAAGCGATCCTACAATCTCGTTCTAAGCGACAGGTAGGAAACGCTCCACGCTCCACAACAGGTACAAATTCCTCTGCTGTTAACAACGGTCAGCGAGGAACAAATTCTACATTCGTACCCGTAAGTACAAATATCACCCCTGCTTTAAATTTTTCATCTGTACCTACTCCCCTCGCTGCTAACAATGTTCAGCGAGTTAATGGAGCTACCTATGCTGCTATTGCAGCGGGTAGAAATCAAAATACTATTCAACGTAATTCTAACGGAAATTTTGAAAATTTTGACTTAGGAAGCATTACTGCTCCCAAAATAGATTTTTTACAGAAATCTCGAAGAACTAGGATTTGGCGATCATCAAAGAAAGATCTATCTTGACGGATCCTCGGATCGATCTTGAATTTGGCTCTAGAATCGATCCACTGATTAAATCGGTACCAAAGAATCGATCTTTGGTAGATCGATCTTTTGATTTCGTACCTTAAGGAATTCTTTCCTTTATAATATTCAATTAAATGTTGTCGTGACGTTAAGAAACAATGAGCACAGGAGGGAGGTAGTTCAAATGTTGCTGTATTCGTAAATATTAGAAACGCAATTAGTGACGTCTTTGTAGGGAGCGATCTTGATGTTGACGTTATGATCGTTAAATTTATTACGCAGTCTGGGCTACACCATTTTTTTGAAGATCGAAAAGATTGAAAGAAGAGATCGATTTTTTCGATCTTTTCGTGGACAAAGAATCTATTCAAAAAAGATCGATCTTCCAAAGATCGATCCAAGATCGCCCAATCCTACGATGAGCGTTTAAAATGGTCCTATCTGCTTTGATCGATTCTCTCTATCGACTTTATCTTTTGATAACCACTGCTATGCAAACAGATTTCGCGCTAATTCTACCACATAGTTTGATAAAGGTGGTTCTTATCTAGCGTCCAAAACGTCAAATACAACAGGGAAAGATTTTGCAGCTGAGTTATTAAAGAAAGAGAAAATCGATGAAGAGAATCGATCAATGCAAATGGGATCTTTTGAAATGTTTATCTACCGCTATGCTAAAAACTTACACCAAGTTTGATGCTAAATATTCAAATTGGAGTAAAATTTGCGAACAATATTGTCATGACTTAGGAATTCAGTAATGGATTTTAAAGGGTGTCCACGATGAAATTGCCACACACAAAATTGATTCGCAAAATTCGAGTTTTCATCCGATTGCCATCAAATTTTCAGGGATTGAGAAATAACTATTAAACTTCATTTTACCATTTTACTCGTATTTTATTTACAGTCCATACGCAAATGCCCGCACCTTGGCCTTAACCCCGGCCATAAAATTCTGCACAACCTGTGAATCAACCGTTTTTTGCATGTAAACCCATACTTTCTTCAGTTCCTCGACTGTCTTCACTACCTTAGGTCGTTTAAGAAGGTGCTGCTTCATAATCGCCCAGTACTTCTCGATGGGGCGGAGCTCCGGAGTGTTGGGAGGGTTGAACATTTTCGGCACGAAATTGACCTTATTGTCCGCATACCACTTCAGCACGTCCTTGGAGTAGTGGCATGATGCCAAATCCGGCCAGAAGATTGTTGGGACGTTGTAGGCCTTCAGGAGAGGAAGCAGCCGCTTCTGGAGGCACGCTTTTATGTACACCTGTCCGTTCATCGTGTCCTGGGTCACGAAAGGTGCACTCCGTTCCCGCACGTGCAGATGGCTTGCCAAACCAGGAATTTCTTCGCAAATTTGGACATCTTCTGAGTGCGGACATGCTCCGGAACGCTGAACTTATCCTTGGCCGTGAAAAACAGGTTGCCGGGGATATGTTTAAAGTCGGCCTTCACATATGTTTCGTCGTCCATGATGCAGCATTCAACTTTCGTCAGCATGTTGCGGTACAACTTCCTGGCACGGGTTTTGGCGGACTTGTTCTGCTTCTCGTCGCGATTAGGGGCCTTTTGTACCTTGAACGTTCGAAGGCCAGCCTTAGTTTTGGCCTTCTGGACAAAACTTCGGCTTAGGTGCAGCTTCTTAGCCACATCCCTAACGGAGGCGTTGAAGGCCCCAACTACGCGGTTGTGATTTTTGGTGTTGTACGGAATACTTTTTCCTTCACTTCTGGGCTTCCGATCGGTGGTCAACCGTTCCTCGAACCGCTTAATCACTCGCGACACCGTGGAATTCGCGATTCCCAACGTTTTAGCGATGGAACGATGCGAGAGATCCTTGTTCTCGTGATGAATGCGCAAGATTTTATCACGCACGAGCTGTTCTTTCGACTCCATTTCCGCGAGTTTTGATCACAGGACTTTAAAACTTGCAGGATGTAAATAATGCACTATGAACTAAATCCACCCAAATTTTCATTAAATTCTACCCAACGGTTAAAAAGTTAGAGCAATTTCATAGTGTGGCAATTTCATCGTGGACACCCTTTAAATCATTAAATATTTTAAATTGGAATGCTCGATCTCTTAAAGATAATGAAGACGAGTTATTTAACTTTTTGAGAGTTCATAATGTGCATATTGCCGTTATAACTGAAACGTTCCTTAAACCTGACCATACGGTTAAAAGGGACGCAAATTATTTCATTTATAGAAATGATCGTCTTGATGGAGCCTGTGGTGGCGTTGCCATCATTATTCATAGACGAATCAAACATAAAATTCTTTCTTCATTTGAAACCAAAGTTTTTGAAACTTTGGGAGTTTCTGTTGAAACAAAATTTGAACAACTTTCGTTTATAGCTGCCTATTGGCCAATCCAATGCGTTAGCCAGCAAAAGAATTTTTCTCAAGGGTGACCTTCAAAAACTTACCCGTCATAGGTCTAAATTCTGCATTATTGGTGATTTAATTCAAAGCACCGCTCTTGGAATAATAATCAATGCAATTCCAATGGTAATATCACAGACAAACAGACATAACACATTGAATATTTCTCACTGTAAAACATCGTCGCTAAAACATTACCGCTATCTGTTGAGTACACTGTGGTGGGCACTGCGTTGAACAGATGGCGGTAGTGTGTAAACGTCAAACGCAAGGGAATTGACTATGTGCGCCACAGGTGGCGGTACTACCAAGTACGATACTTTTAAATTGTCCGTTAAATGCTTGTACGATGAACAACTTGCGAGTGTTATGTCTGTTTGTCTGTGGTAATATCAACAATCAATACGAAACTAACGATTTTAAATTGGCTCACTACTTGACTAGCCTATTGGTCCCAAGTAAACGATTAACGTACCCCATTCTAGTCGAAATTCTAGTACTACGCAATGTTTGTTTTGATTCGCTATGAAAGTTTGACAGGTAAAATGAGGGGTTATTGGTTTTTCCTATGTTTCGAGGGGTGAATCGATTAGCTTGGGACCGAAGAGAGTACCAGAGCTGAGCCAAAAAGTTGAGCACGTTATTTCAGGACCTTCTAGTCTTAGAGTTACCTCAATGGTAATATTCTGTTTGATGATTGTTCTGCAGGTTATTATACTATTCAATATCCAAACAGCCCAACATGCGTTTTTTTTAGCAAGAAATACCTCAACTATTGATTTGGTCTTAACTGATTCATGTCAACTTTCTAGCCAATTGGTTACCCATGCTGACTTCGGTTCTGATCACCTTCCAGTAACGTTTAAAATATCTCATGAGATAATTTCAATTACCATAGAGCAGATTGGGAGCAATATCAAACATTTATAAAATATAGCTTTGATCCAAACATACCTTTGCAAACCAAAGATGAAATTAATTATGCTCTTGAATTTCTGACTACTTCTATAGTTGAAGCAAGAGCTGCCTCAGTACCAAAATGCGAGGTTAAGTTCGATTAAATTATAATAGACAACGATCTTCAGCTATTGAAATCCGTCTTAAAAATGTCCGTACGAGACAATATCAAAGAACACGCGATCCTGCCATGAAAGTTATCTGGCGGGATTTGCAAAAACAAATTAAAAAGCGATTCTATGCCCTGAGGAACAAAACTTTTGAAAATAATGTTTCGAAATTAGCCTGAGTTCCAAACCCTTTTGGAAACTCACAACAATTTTGAAAAAAAAAACCTCAAAAGTCTATTCCAGGGCTTAGAAGGTGGTAAAATTTGGATCACAAATTTGGAAAAAGCTCAGAAACTTGCTAAGCGATTCGAGAGTTCCCATAATTTCAGTTTGGGTCTTACTAGTCCTATCGAGAATCAGGTAGGTTGCTCAAGATTAGCTGAATATTTTCTCTCGGGAAAATCACATTCTTCCTTCTTTCTTTCTCTCGGGAAAATATTTTTGATGATTCCTGGGGGACTGATTTGGACGAAGTAAGATCTATAACTAACAAGTTTCATAATATGAAAGCTCCAGGTGATGATGGAACTCCAGAGAGTACTTTGTCTTTCTTGGTAAAATTATTTAACAGATGTTTCCATTTGGCATACTTTCCTGATAAATGGAAAAATACAAAAGTTGTTCCAATTTTCAAGCCAGATAAAATCTAGCTGAAGCTTCTAGCCAATAAGTTTGCTTTCTTTAATAAGTAAACTTTTTGAAAAGATAATTTTGAATAGAATGATGCTTCATATCAAACGAACTCAAATTTTGCAGATGAGCAGTTTGGATTTCGCCATGGGCATTCAACTGCTCATCAAATCTTAAGAGCTACCAATTTAATTTTTTCAAACAAATCTGAAGGCTGCTCAACTGAAGTTGCTCTTCTAGACATAGAAAACGCATTCGACAGTGTTTGGCATGAAGGTTTGATTGCTAAATTGAAAAAGTTTAATTTCCTGCTTTATATAATGAAATTAGTTCAAAATTATTTAACTGGCAGAATTCTGCAGGTAAATTATCAAAATTCCAAATCTGAACGACTACCTGTTAAAGCAGGAGTTCTTCAGGGTAGCATTCTTGGGCCTATATTGTGTAACATTTTCACTTCGGACCTCCCTGATTTGCCTCCGAGTTGCCACAAATCTTTGCTCGCTGATGACACAGGCATTTCTGCTAAAGGAAGAAGTCTTCTTGTTATTGACAGAAAACTGCAGAAAAGTTTGGGTTAGGTTAGGTTATTTTTATTAGCGAGACTTTCAGCCAGAGGCTGGTTCATTTCTTCAGAAAAGTTAAGATATTATCTCTTGTTATTTACAAATATGGAAGATTTGTCCCAATGCTTCCAAAACTCAACTTATAATATTTCCACATAAGCCTAGAGCTTCCTTTTTGAAACCTAGTAGTAGTCACATAGTCACAGTGAACGGAGGTCCAATTTCCTGGTCAAACCAAGTGAAATATCTTGGATTAATACTTGACCAAAAATTAACTTTTAAAGATCACATTGAGGGCATTCAAGCCAAATGTAACAAATATATTAAATGTTTGTATCCTCTTATAAACAGGAAATCCAAACTTTGCCTGACGAATAAACTTCTAATATTTAAACAAGTTTTTAGACCGGCCATGCTTTACGCTGTGCCAATATGGTCTAGTTGCTGCACTACCAGGAAAAAAACACTTCAAAGGATTCAGAACAAAATTCTGAAAATGATTTTGAAGTTGCCTCCCTAGTACAGCACTACCGAGGTACATTAATTTCGAATGTTGAGACTTAAGAACACCAACCACTCTTGCTGAATAACATAAACATCAAAAGTGCTTTTTCAACAACTAAACAACCTGGGGCCACATTGCGCATCTCGAAACGAAAAACTTTGTAATACAACCATTCTTACAAAAAGTCTTTCGTTTCAAGATTTGCAATGTGACCCCTGTACTCTGCTAATAAAGTCTGGAACGCGCAAAAATTGGTCAACTTCAAATTGGTGTATTTCTGTTACAAATGCATAAAACAACCTGAAATGCTGCATTTTAAAGTTGAGTGTATATACAATGGTTGCTATGATGAGTTTTCACCGTGTGCTCTCCAGTTTTCAAAATGACGTCCAAGCAAGAGGAGCAGCTTGTCAAAATTTTGCTCGCGCAGCAAGAGAATCCGACGTTCCCACACGCTAACCACACCGTGACAACCGTTTTAAAAGTGTTTGGGGAGCGTCTGTCGACCACCATGAAGTCTGGAAGCTGCGGCAATAGTAATCTGGACGTGGCAGCGACGACGAAGAAGGTGGCGGTGAAATATAAGCGGATTCCTAACCTCTCCAACTGGGAAATCGCTGGCAAGCTCAATGTTTCCCATACTACTGTGCAGCCGGGTTGTCGACGTTTAAGAAGGTGAAGTTGGCAAACCGAGATTACAAACAAAACACGTCGGCAAAGCAGTATACGAAGCTGCTCACAGTTTGACTGTGTCGTCATGGACGACGAAACTTATGTGAAGGCGGATTTCAAGCAGCTTCCGGGACAGGAGTTTTATACCGCATCAGGAAAAGGGAAGGTGACTGAAATTTAAAAAAACCATCAAACAATCGAAGTTCCTGAAAAAATATCTCGTCTAGCAGGCCATATGCACGTGTGGTCTAAAAAGCGGCATTTTCATTACTACGGGAACCATCAATCAAGAGATCTACGTCCAGTAGTGCCTGGAAAAGCGGCTGCTACCAAAGGCAATCGGTGGTACAATGCGAACAACGTGGTTGTGGTACCCAAAGACCACAACCCTCCCAACAGCCCAGAACTCCGCCCTATCGAACGGTATTGGCCTTGGTCAAACGGAATCTCAAAAAAACTAATAAATCCATGGAAAACGAGCAGCAGTTTAAGGTCGATGAGGCCACTGTGCAAAATTTAATGGAAGGGGTTAAGCGGAAGGCACGGCAGTTCGGAGTTCGGATTTGGCAAACCAAAAGAATAAACGAACATTTTTTCCTTTAAATATATGAATTGAACTACCAAAAGAAAAATAAGAAGATTTTTGTGATATGAATTTTGACTGAAAGAAATGATTTTTTGTCGACCATTTTTTGTGCGTTCCAGTCTTTGAGCTGTATGAGCACTACTTTTGAAGCATTTTTACCAGCCGTTGTTTTGATTCGCTATGAAAGTTTGACAGATGAAATGAAGGGTTCGTAGATTTTACCATGTTTCGAGGGGTGCATCGATTAGCTTGGGGCCGAAGAGAGTACCACAGCTGAGTCAAAAAGTTGAGCATGTTTATTCGGGACCTTTATTGTCTTAGAGTTACCTCTATGATTTTACAGCTTTTACTCCGCTCCTTTCAAAGCTGAACTAACTAGTCGAAAAAAGTGATTCATGTGCACTATTATAAAGCCTCTACTTAGCGATCTCGTTGTAGAAGGTAATTTAAATTTACGTCAGTTCAAAGTGTTGGCGTAGCGAAGTTGATAGTGTCAAGGTTTGCCAATGCGGTCGTCTTGAGTTCGAGTCCAGGTTCCGGTGTAGGGCAATAATTTAATTTGGTAGTGTGTTTATATTTAATTTCGAGTAATTTGATTCGCAGTTAAATAAAATCAATAAATTCTCCCATCAATAAGAGTAAACAATATTTAACCCGGCTTCAGGATCAAGCTGTGTAGTGATTATTGGATAATCGGGTAAAGGTTGAGTAAACGCCTTTCAACTTCACACAGCTGTATTGAAGCAAAATGGATATGTAATAAGACCTTGTCCTAACCTTTCCAACAGCGATAAGTAGCTGACTAAGTTCGCCAGATTTGCTTGTATAGAGGTTGAGTAAAGGTTATCTCATATCGTATAGCATTTGAATACAGCTTGAGGCTGTATAAATGAAATGAGCAAAGCGTTTACATTGTGAAAATTGTTAGTTAGGTGATGGAAGTAAGGTTTCCGCAGCGATTCACCTTAAGGTTATCATAAAATCAAGGATGGGTAATTTTTCCTGAACATTTAAGTTAAAGTTTTCGGATTTTCTCGGGCATCACGTACTTTGAACATTCATAACTGGGGTCTCAGAATTTTATGAAATGTCGAAAAATTTCATAAAGTTCTGCGACCCTTCGGCTCAAACCTTTCCGATCATTTAAAAAAATCCCCATGGCAATGTAAAATGGCTTATTAATACCAATAATTAAAGGCATACAGTTTTCATGAACGTGTAAATTTCATCTTTGGTTCGTTGAGTAACAGATTGTTACAGGTGCGCGTATTTTGAGTTCGAAATAACATAATATTCTTATCTGTGTAGTACCTAGTACGAAACAAATTAGCCCTCAACCTCTGAATTACCGATGTTCAACCCTTACTTACCCCTTCGTTCGGCACCTCGTTGAACGCATCCTCGTACGCCCGCTCCATGATCATCTCCCGCAGCCGCTGGAAGAAGTTACTATTCAACAGCTCCGCCTCCCGAGAACTGATATCCGGCGGCATCAGCCCGTGGGACATCGAGTAGACCGGACATCCACCGCAGAGCAGCACCAGAACCAGCGACACCAAACCGTACGACGAACCATTGTGCCCCATTATCGCGATGACGATGGTAACACTGCTGCAACTCTTTTACTCGCCTCTTCTCCTTCTTCTTGCTGGGAAAATTTTCACACCCTGGAACACTGTTTGCGTGGCAAATACATGCAAATGTAGTGGATTAGGAAAAGGGACAAATTTCACTATTAATGAAGCGGATATGTGAACCCAGCTCGTAATGCGTCGTAGCAAATGAGTTGGAAAAGCAATATCCCATTTCAGGCCGAGCTGCTGCCTATGCGATAAGAACCAGCAGCCAGCAAAGTAGCGCGTGGAAAACACATAAATCGATATCTTGTGACGACAGCAAAATCCGCCTCGCTTGGACCATATGTTTCGGGTAGCAATTTTCCACTCATTTACCCCACTATATGATTCACTTTAGGCTAGGAATTATCTTGAAAATCGCAACCACTTACGGAGTTTGAACGATTGAAAGCTATAATCAATCCCAACGAGATGCCTCCATGTTTTCACAAAGCCAAGATGTGGATCCTGGACTGTTCGAAGCGACACGTCTACTCTTCTCTACTTACGATTCCGATGTGATAGATTTTGAGATATTCGGGAGTGAAAATCTGCCTCTCTCTGTAAACAGCACCGGTCCGATGTACCTACCAGAAATTACACTGTATAGTATAAACAAGACAACTCGTTTTTTTTTGGAGAAAGCTTTTTCCAAAAACCATGCAGCTTGAGAGCGATTGGGAAGATTGCCATTGCGCATGTCCTTCGCAAGAAAGCACGCCAGCCGCCCAAAAGGGAAAAGCACAATTTTATTATTCACTTCATTTTCCGGTGTCGTTGCGGTTTCCTGAAATGCCATTATAATGCTGGACGGTCGGCTGCCGAACCGCAATGATGTTTATTTTATTCAATTTGAAAGTAATTTATTTTCGAGAGGGAGGTCTTTTGAGGTTTTCCCCTCTGACGCGATAATGGCGCGGGGGATTGATCCATGAAATTGAGAGGTTAATTTATGCATAAGCCCGCGCTAAATGTGCAACGACACGAACGTAAATTGCGCGGCCTGGATGTGGTCGGAAACAGAACAGTTACTGCCTGTATTTTGAATGTAACATGCAATGTGCACCAAGTTTCCGTTATTCTTCATTTTCTTCAGAGCTATTACGTCCCAACTGGAGCTTTACGTTTGCCATTAACTGAAGTGGTTCTATGAGCGCTTCCACAGTTGTTGATTGAAAGCAGTATCAGCCTACACCATTTTTGCATTCGAATGGCAAGTGTGGCAAGTACAATGATACTCATGTCCAGGGAAATCGAGATTTTTTTGCAGCCGGAGACAGTCCTTGAAGGGACTGTGAACACGCCACCTTCAGCATGATCTTGCCTAATAGCTGCACCTTTACCGACTGAGCTAATGGATGCCTCCAATTTCACTTTGTCAATGTGCCAACATATATATACTAGAGTGATGCAAAATTTGAAATTTTCGCTCCACAATACTTAAACGATTCCAAATCAGATCCTGACTAACCTCTCAAAATTTGAACCCATTTGGTGAGAAACTGAGATGGCACAAACCATTTGAAGTTTGTATGGAAATTACTATGGGAAAACCAAGATTTTTGTTCATGTCTATCTAATAATTCACCATACCGGTCTGCTTCAAAAACCATTTGTTCATTTGTACTTGTAGGAAATTTCCCCAGCTACAACTTTGCTCAAGACCACTTTTTGATTAAACACAAGGATCGAAAGTTATCAATGGTTCAATGCGCTGATGTCTTATGATCATGCTCAATCAACTGCTCAGCAGGCAACATTGGTGTTTATGGGGCGTTGAATAGGACACAAAAATCATGGCTACTATGTCACACTGCAAAATACAGTGTTGCCTACAGAGCAGCTGCTTGATCATGTCATAAGTTTACCAATCTCTTAAATAATTAATAACTTTTTCCTGTCTCGTTTTACATAGAAACGATTTTCGGCAAAGTTGTAGCTGAGAAAATAATAATAGCTATCGAACTGTTTCGCTGCTTAATATGGAAAAAGACTAGAAGGTAATGAACAAAAAGTTGAGATTTCCCATAGTAATTTACATGTAAACTTCAAATGGCTTGTGCGAAGTCTGTTTCTAACCAAATGAGTTGTAACTTTGGGAGGCTTATCAGGACCCGATTTGAAACCATTTAAGCACTGTGGAGCGAAAAAGTCAAATTTTGCATCAGCCTAATGTATACCTGACCACTTTATGTGGTTGTAACGAAAGCATAACTTATTAATTAGAGATGGACAAAACGGATCACTTAAGTGAACGGCATCCGGCAGATCCGGTTCATTTATAATGGTGATCCAGATCATTTCAACGATTCATCGGATCACTTACACCCTAGTACAATTCGGAATCTTTTTAACACAGAATAATTAAATGAGAAACTCATTGTCATCACACATTAGTTGTATCCCAAGTAACAATTTTGGTTTTATGAGGGTTCTGTAGACCATTTTTTGGACTTGTAGAATGCTATAAAACCTCTATAAAGCTTGCAATGTTACTTGGGATGTCAAGGAGAAAAAGACTGATAATTTGAAACTGGTCGTTCTTTTACATTCGTTCGATATTTAATGGAACAAATAGTTAGACGTCACACTCGCTGTTTCATAAGATCTTAAAACAGTGTTACACTCCACGATCGCTTACTGAAATTACTTTGATTACTTTTCACCGCCATCAACCAACAACAAAATCCCTTTTCTTTTTTGTCAGATGACGAGAATGACTCTGACTTGGCTGAGGAGGGAACTCCTTTCAGTTTTTCGGATGGTCTGCACGGAAACGAGGACGCATCCGTTCGCGGAAATCAACTTGTCCAAATCACGGAGTGGTGGAAAAAAGGAGACTTCTACTCCTCCTGGATTCCGCAGAACTGACTATACCCAGGATTTTCCACCTCTCCCGGGGACATCCAAAATCCCCGATTTTAAGAACAGTAGGCCCTTCTTCAGTTGGGTTGTTCTCATTTGATAACATTGTGGACGGTGTCCTCAAGTGCCTCGATATTTCTGATCCTCTGAAAAGCATTGTTCTGGCAATGCTTCCTATAGGATCACTCTGAAGACTCTGCTGAAGCAATTCACATTGAAGTGGCCCCTCATTGCAGCAATCATTTCCTTCGATGGATAATTTTCCAAACGAGGTCGGCGATCTGATCACTGTTCTACAGTGGAATTGTCGAAGATTTATTCCTAAATTAGAATTTTTAGTTCACAATAATGATTGTGATGCATTTGCTCTTTGTGAAACTTGGCTGTCTTCAGATATCAGAAGTAACAAGGAAACTCTACAGATTTTCGATTTAGCTACATGGGTCTCCCGCAGGGGCCCATGTTTAAGCCCCTTGTATATAATTTCTACGTCAGAGAAATTGATGATTGTCTTAGTGACAGCTACACGTTGAGACAACTTGCAGATGACTGCGTAGTGTCTGTCACAGGGCCCAAAGGGGTCGACCTGCAAGGACCCTTATTGGATACCTTCTGACATTTTTTCTACTTGGGCTATCGAGCTAGGTATCGAATTCTCTTCGATGAGTTGGTCGTTTTTTTCTAGGAAGCATAGACCAGCAAAACCGAAGCTTCAAATTTTGGGTAAAGCGATCACTCATTCTATGTCCTTCAAATATCTTGGGGTCTGCTCCGATTCTAAATGCACCTGGAGATCCTGCATTGAGTATCTGAAGCGGAAATGCCAACAAAGGATCAATTTTTTCCGTACAATTACCGGAACGTGGTGGGGAGCCCATCCGCACGATCTTCTAACGTTGTATCGGACAACGATTTGATCGGTTTTAGAGTACGGTAGTTTTTGCTTCTAGTCGGCGGCTAAAACGCACATCATCAAACTGGAACGGATCCACCCAAGTAACCATACATACTTAATCCAGCTCGGTAAAATCTACAACAGCCGATTACTTCGGCATTCACTTTTGCTGATATCTCTGCAAAATATCTGTTTGTTAGCTGATATCACAGCAAAATGTTATTTGCTAGCTGAGTCTCGGCAATTGTTTGACTGAATCTCAGCAAAATAAATTGCAGAACTACTCGGCTGTTGGAATCTCGGCGAAAAAAATTTAGTGTGTAGGCACGTTATTTCGCTTTTTTGGCTATATATGGGCCTCATCAGAACTTGCAAACACTGGTATAGCCGTTGTTCAGCTGTATATAGCCAAAAAGGCAAAATTACGTGCCTATGGTTACTTTGGCAGTATCGCTGTCTTCGTATAGCGTTGGGATGCATGCATTCGACTCATACGATGAGTCTCGAAGTGTTGGCGGGCATGTTGTCACTCTCCGGCAGTGCTGAGATTTGTCATTGTTATTGACAGACTATCGCGTGATATTGACAAAATTGTTCATCACATGATCCTCAGAAAAACCATCGTCAAAATCTCATTCATTTTTTCGTCGAGGGGTCGTCCATTAATTATGTCAAACATTTAGGGGGGAGAGGGGGTTTGAAAACTGTGACGAGCCATACAAAAAAAATTAAGGTCCATACAAAAAATGTGACAAAGGGGGGAGGGGGGGTTGAAAATGGGCCAAATTTGCGTGACATAATGAATCTACCATCCCCAATGACAAAGATTCACCTGGTAACAAAAAGTGTAATTTCGTACATCCTGTGTCACATTATTGTTATCCAAGTAGTTCAGGACGTAGATGCTTGTTCACATTAACGAATCCATGTAATTGTGTTGCTCAAGTCATTTAATTTCGTTACAAACCGTGGAGGTGAACCAGTCTCAGGCTGAAAGCCTCTTAAATAAAGATAAATCAATCAATCAATCAATCAATCGTTACAAATTTAGTTAATACAAAAATCTACACATGTTCGTCACTGACAGCATTGTCATTGACAATTGACAAGGTTTGCCTTGACTATCACTGTTAGCTCAAATGAGTGACCAAAGCTTAACTTTAACTTTAGATTTAAGACATTAATAATGTATAACACGAATGATAATTTGGCTCTGTAAAGTTTATTCGATTGAGCCTGTTCAAATACATTAATTTACAAAAAAAAACATATTAGCCAGTCATTGCTTCTAAGTGGCCACCAGATGGCCCACCGGGAGATCTGGAATATCCGTAAAATGTATTGCTTCGTATGCAAAGTATCCCGAGTAAACATTTACCATACAAAAACAGTAGAACCTATTGTTGCAATACAATAAAATCTATTGAAGCAACAATAAATGTTATTGTCAAAAACAATAAAAATACAATAGAACTTATTGTTCTAAACAACATAATCTATTATTAATGATACATTTACAATAGAAAATGGGGGTTGTTAGTTACCCGAATAAAAATTAACCATACAAAAAACATAGAACCTATTGTTACAATGCAATAAAACCTTCTGAAGCAACAATAAATGTTATTGTCAAAAACAATATAAGTAAAGGGTGATACGGTCAAAATTTGGTCAATATCAACTTGACGTATTTCTTTCAATTTTGCATTTAAAAAACCTGAACCCCCCTCTTTTTTAAGGTGTGTGTGTGTAGAATGTTGCTCCTATTTTGATTTTGGAATTCTCTTTTCAGTTGTCAAAATGCCGTCCAAGCAAGA